TAAATGTTGGCATCTACACATGAGGAAAATAAGGCTCAGCATCATTAGCTGATTTTCTCAGTATCACACAGTTGATCATTATGTAACTGGTAAGAATTTATGTAACATTTTGAAAGATTGGGCTAATATTTTTAGCCCAATGTGATCACAGTGGAAAAGCTTGTTGTCTGAGTTGATGGGGTCCATTCAGAGATGGGCGGAAACTCTTGGTCTCACAGCTGCCCCTCCCTTCAAGCTACACTCAGCACTGGGACTTTCCCCGTGGCTTCTGTGGCTTGGATCTTAGTGTTTGGTCCCAGGCTGGCTTATACCAGCCCCTCAGAAATCCTGTCCCCCTGGGATGCATGGTGCGAGCCGGGAGCAGACCTCCAGCACTAAAGACACTTGCCATCACCTCTCCATCTTTGCCAGCTTCCCTCTCCCCGGTCTTAGAGAATCCCCTTTCTCTCCCAGGTAGCTTCATTCCTCCACTCCAACTCCAAGCATCCTCTCTTTATTTCCTCTCCCTTTGGGGGTTAGAAGAGGCGCACCCCCTGCCCTCTGATGCCCTTCTCCACCACAGTGGTGAGATAAGGCAGAAGTTGATACATCATTACGTTTTTCTCCCGTAATAGGTAAAGGTTAGCAGTCAGCTGCAAATCATCTGTGGGCTAAAGCAGCAAATGAATGGATACATGAATGAATGAGAAGATGCATAAAGAGAAATAAAATATTTTGAACACAAATAAAATAAAATTCTTGGAAAAACAAAGTTAAGGATGAAGGCTTAGAGCTGAGCTGAGTGTGGCATAGAGAGGGAAGAGGAGGGGGCTGCTCTATTGGACGGAGGGAGCATGTGCACAGGGACAGAAACCTGCCAGAAGGTTCTTGCACCAGCCTTGGGAGGAGGTGCAGGGGCCCCGACCAGTAGAGGGCAGTGGAAATAAAAAGGAAAGAACAGATGCAAGTGACTGTGAAGAAGAAATGGCAAGATTTGGAAACAGACTGATGTGGAGAGGGATGAGACAGAGGAGTCAGAGATGGCTCTCGCTAGCAGAAATTGGAAATTTAGGAGATAAAGTTTGCAGGTGCTGGGAGGAACGTGAGTTTTCAGCAGGCAGTGGTTGTGGAATGTCTGGATAGACATGTCTGCAGGAAATGGAGATGGAGGACTAGAATCTGGGCAGCAAGTCAGGACAGGTGGTCCTCACCAGAGGCCACATGCATCCTCTCAGAAGTGATGGAAGAAGCTAGGGAGTGGGTGAAGTCTTGGAGGTCTTCACTGACAAGCATGCGAGCTTTGCTAGCGTGCTCCGAGAATTGCTCCTGACCTTTGACCTCTGGCATGCATCAGAGCAGGGGGATGGCGGGAGGAGGGGGTGTTGTCATCATACTGTCATGACAGGTCCCAGCCCTTCAGTTTATGATGGGGGCATGCAAAGGCTCCAGCACTGGGAGATGAGAAAGCTGGGTCCTTACGGGAGGGGAATAAAACTGATGTTTATCCAGCCCTTGGCTCATGTCAGGCCTGGCCTGAATGCCATTCAGTGGCGAATGAGTGGGCCTGTAGGTGGGCTTGTGCAGGACCCACCCTGGGCACTGCCTGCCTTCTCTCTGCTTTGTTCTCTTGGTTCCTCTTCCTGGAATGCAGACGTCCCGCTTCCTCATGTGGTTATGTTTTACTCAACCTTTCTAACCTCCCTTGATTCGCCTGGATCACAGAACCTTCTGTGAGTCCCTCTGGTTGGAATGAATTGCAGCCTTTCAGCAATCCCACAATCCCTGTATTGAGACTGCTTATTTCGTATTTATAACTCTATAATGCAGGGAATAATAAGACATGGGAATTCAATAGACTGTGGCCTGCGTGAAACAGTTCCTCTGTTTGTTGTGTGAAAGAATCAGATTGGCATCATTCGACAGCTTCTCTTGTGAATAAACAATGTTTCCCAGTGCTAAGGGATGACTCAGGGTGGTGGGGGCATGGTCAGAGCATCACTCAGTGTGTCTGTAGTTTGCCTGGTAGATTCAGGGGTGTCTTTATAAAACAGTTAGACAAGCTCAGGGTTGGGAGGGGACATCCAGTCCAGCTGCCCCACACGTGAATAAGCATCATGCCTGCCTGGTGGCCATTCGCACCTACGTAAGCATGCCCAGTGCTTGTGAAAGGAAGAACTAGGTGGATGGTCGGGGGAGGATTAAGAGGGATGAACACAATTTTGCTTTTCCCATTGATTACTCATTCTGTATCCGACAAGATTTAACCAAATTATGCTGTCATGAGAAACAACTCCCAAATCACAGTCGCTTAAAACAACCCAAGTGTCTTTCTTTCTTGAGCTCTGTGTCCATCCCCGGTTGCTGGGGGGCCTCTCTCTTCACTTACAGTTTCCGGATGATGGAGTACCCACCATTGTAAATGCTTTTTGCTGCGTCAGAGGGGAGAGAAAGAGACTCTGGAGCGCTTTGCAAGTAAATCGTCCAGTGTTCTCTCCACGTTGTTTCTGCTCAGAGCCCATCGGCCCCGCCCAACGACTGGCTGCTGAGCAGTGCGGTCTTCCTGTGTTCCCGAGGGCGGAGTGTGGAAGCGTGTGGAGGGCAGCAGTAATGCCCACCGTGCAAATGGCTGGCTGATTTTCATTCGGCCTAGGAGGAATGGATTCCCTACGGCTTCTATGCCGTCACGACAGGGACAGCCTGGGCAAGTAGGAGAGAAGCAATGTGTGTATGAAAAGAGCACCAGCGCTCCTAAACGTCTCCCACTTGTGAGCATCCTGCTCAGTGACCGTAAGAGGCATTTGGGAGAAGCCGCCCAGAAGAGTAAGATGAATTCTTCAGCGTTTTTCCCACCCCCACACCAGGCTGGGGACCTCTGGAAGCAGCTGGCCTCTATTAAGCAGTTTTCCTCAGCACGGTGACAGTGACGAATCCTCCGTGCTCAGAAGGTTGCAGCTACCACGATAAATCAAGCCCCGACGAGGGAAGAGGCAGTGGTGATTAATAGTGGGACCTGAAATCCACGCTGTAATCAGTCAGATTTGTCACTGGAGTTGGAGACCGGGGATGGTGCTATCATGGATGATTCAGGCCCAGAGTGGCTGTCTCTGAACATGTTAATTACCTTGGCAGAAGTTGCTGAAACTGATGATTAAAAAATGTAGAGATGTGCATAGCAGAAGTCACAGCCACTGCCTCCGGGGCTGGCATGCTCGGCTCTGGGAATGTGGGCTTTCTCTTTGAATGAATGGGGCGAGGTAGGGTGGTACCTTGGCCAGGTGTGGATGGGGGTGGTAAGGATAACTCTAAGATCCTGTGAGGAGAAATGATAGGGACATACCCCCACCCCCAACAGGTGGTTGAGGCTCATAGGGGCTGGCTGTTCCCGGTTCACCCATGGAGGCCTTTGGAATGATGGCTCTTTTACGCTGATTCCAAGGTTACTGTCTGAGGATTCTAAGGCACGGGTCAATGCAATTCACTCTTCATCTGACTTTATAGAAGATGTCACTTAGTTACAAAATGCATTTCTTCTATGTGTGCCTCTGCAAGCATTTATCTTTAATGTGCGTCTCCCTCTGTATCTGTCATCTGGGGCAGGTAACTCATCTGACTAAAGTGAGAGATGAATGAGACCAAAGTCATGTTCTGTACTACCCAAATGGGACAGGATGAGGCAGTTTATTTTCTACCCGGAGAAATCTTGGTTTGTGACCACAGGATACATCCCTAACACCAGCCAGCCATGCTGCAAACATATGCACTTGGTCAGTTCAATTCATTTCATCACATATTTATTAAGACTCTAAGTGCCAGGTACTGAGCAAAGCACTTTGTAAATGGAGTTGAGAAAAGAATAGAGCTTGGCTAAGACGGCTTATAGAAGAGTGGAGTAGATTCATCCTCCATGATGGATAGGTTATGGAAGGTCCCCCTAGGTGAGCGTCAGAAAGCATGCCGTGGGGCTCAGAGCTGCAGGGTGGGGTGGGCTGGGGTGAGGTTCGGTAGTGGGGGCAGAGCTTTCATTAGGAAGTGGCATTTGAGATGGACCTTGAAGGATGGTTAGAAAGATTTTACTGGGAGGACCAAAACATTCGTGATGGTCTAAACAATACACAGAGGCTATACACAATACCCCCATACATATATATATATTCCTATATGACTAGGAAAGATGGTGCATTTGCATCTGTGTCTTCAGGTGTTCTTACCACTAGCCTAGGGCCAAATTGTTTCTTTACAATCATTTTGATTTCTGTTACAACTTTGATTTCTGTTAAGATGTAAACACCCCTGGGAGGGGTTCACAATCATTTTAAGCTCTTTTTACCCGTGTATTTCTGGGTGGGTAGATTGGGGGTGGGGGAGCTTAGTCTTCCTGCTGGTCACCTTCCGCCGTCTGACCCTTCCTGGCCTAGGCTGGTTTCTTTCCCCTTCCTCCAGAGGCCACACTTTCCCTCTTTTATCATCAAGATGTGTCCTTTCTCTTGGGTTCCTCTTGATCCACCCACCATCAAGCAAACAAAATGCTGTTTCTCAACTTTTTCCCGACCCTCCTATATTTGAAACAAACACACATATTCACTTTAGGTTTGTGAGTTCCTGTAGGAGGATACAGGGGGGCTATAAAGACAAGAGTGATAGACTCGCTAGAAACCCTGTCAGTATTTCTCCTCGCGGGTCCTGCCTCGGGTCAGACATCACAGGGGCTGGACAGCCTCTTCCAGTCTCCCCAGTGGTCATCCATGGGTGACCCCCAGAAGCAAGTGCAGTACTCTGGTAAGTAGAGTGCTGAGGGCCTGTGTCCATTTGGGGTTGAGTATAAAGCATGGCTCCAGTACCATAAAGAGGAGAACTTACCAGAAACGGATTAGTCTCGGGGCAGTGAGTCTGTGCTGCTGTAGGGAGGGCCTTTGTGTCACCAGCATGTTGGAGGCAGTGTCCGGGCAGAAGTCAGCTGCCTCAGAGGTGGGAATGACTTTTCCTCCCTCTAACTCAGGCCTGTGTCTCTGCTCCCTCTTCAGCTGGTGCTGCCAGAATACTCCATCCACAGCCTCTTCTGCATCATGTTCCTGTGTGCTCAGGAGTGGCTCACCCTGGGGCTGAACGTCCCTCTACTTTGCTATCACTTCTGGAGGTAAGTCTGCCTGGGGCTGGTCTGTCCTTCCTCTTTTCTGCTTGGGCAGCCTGCCCTCCAGAGAAAACCTCCCCCCAAAAAACCAGCCACCTGCTGCCTTCCTCTCCTCCCTTCCTTTTGGAGACCTTGTCTCTGGAGCCTTCTTCCGAGCTACTCTCAGACAGCAGTCCAATCAGGCGAGGCCCTTCTTATAGGCTCCAGTAACCACAGCCTCAACTCTTGTAGATCAATGTTAAAAGCATCTACAGCATTATTCACAATGGCCAAAAAGTAGGAACAACCCAAATGTTCATCCACAGAAGAAGGGGTAAATGAAATACGGTATATCTGTACAATGGGATAGTATTTGGTAATAAACAATGAAGCACTGATACATGTTACAACACAGATGAACCTTGAAAAAATGACAAGTGAGAGAAGCCAGTCACAAAAGGCCATTTACGTGAAATGTCCGGAATAGGCAAATCTATAGAGACAGAAAGTAGCTTGGTGTTTGCCAGGGGCTAGAAGGGAGGGGGAGTGGGGAGTGACTGCTAATGGGTACAAGGTTTTCTTTTTAGAGTGATGAAAATGTTCTGAAATTAGATACTGGTTGTGGTTGTACAACTCTTATGAATATGCTGAAAACCACTGAATTGTATACTTTAAAAAGGTACATTTTTTGGTATATGAATTATATCTTAATTAAAAAGAAGGCACCTACCAGATGGACTGGCTTTTCTGCAACAGTTCTGATTTTTAATAGTCTATTCCCTGCTAAGATTATGCATCAGATCATGTGATTTGGGCTTTTCGTAAACTATAGTCACCATATGGATGTAGGAGGCAGGGAATGGGGAATACAAAAGTAGTAAAGAGTGCAATTATGCAAATAAACTAACCACCCTTTACCCCTGCTCCCAGAGCTTTGGTCCCTCAAACATTTCGTCATTGTTATTTTACCATAAAATATAGCCTGTATTTAGTCACGTCTAAAGCATCCATCCACTCCTTCGTTTAGCAAACATATGGAACACACACTACATGCCAGACATTGTGGGAATTCCAAGATGAATGTAAGATATCATCTTTCCCCTTGAGGAATATACACCCTAGCGGCAGAGGGAAATGTATTCTTAACAGAAATATGAGGAGTGTATGTAGGAGTGTAGAGAAATGAGCATTGAAATTAGGTGGGAAGAGTGACGCTGGAAAATCTGGAAAAGCACATTCCAGGTTGAGGGACTAGCATATGCAAAGGCTCAGAGGTAAGAGAGCACTTGATGTGTTTGGGGAATGGCAGTTGTTCATTGGCTGGATGTAGAGTTCTTGGAGGGATGTGAGCAGAGATGGGGTTGATGGTCAGTGGGGATCAGTAGGGAGGGTCTGAAATGATTGGATGGGGAATTAATTTATTCTGTTGGGAACGGACAGCTCTCAGAAGCTTTTGAGGAGGAAAATGGCCTTACCTGATCTGGTTTTTAGGAAAGTGACCCTGGCAGCAGTGTGAAGGATGGGTTGGAGGGTGAAATTTTGAGGACGAAATCCGATTAGGAGGTTATGATGAAATTCCAGGTGAAGAGATAATGAAGGCTTGAACTTGGTAGTGGAAGTTGAAATGGAGAGAGAAGGGGAGAATCCGTGGAGGTAAACTGGACATGCCTTTCTGAGAGCAGAGGAGAGAAGAAGTTGCAGGTTTAGGGAGGAAGGAAGATGATTTGGTTGTGTAAGAAAGTCTTGCTTTTTAAGTTAAGATAATCCACTAAAATCTGAATTTAGAAGGAAGTCAGATAGAAGCATTGTGGCGTTGAAATGTATTGCATACCCACTCGGGACTTTCCATGCCTTAGCTCATCCAGTGTCCACAACATGAGTGAGTTGGGCTTCCTTTTGCATTTTTCACACAGGGACACAGTGACTCACAAAGGATAAGTCACCACCCTGAGTCACTCAGCTAGGCCATGGCAGGGCCATGGTTCAGCCCCACCTCTGTACGGACCACAGTCCACATCCTCGTCACCTGGCATGCCACCCCAGGGGGCTGGCTCTCCTCCCTACAAGAGGAATTTATCCCCGGGTCCCTCAAATAGTGTGCTGTCCACCCAGAGTATCAAAAATGTGGTTAATTTACAAAACTTTGGTTGGTGCTATGCTTCTTAGGGCGGTCGCTCTTCCAGAGGGAGGAAAGGGAGAGGCAGGCCGTGTCCTCACACTTGGCAAGTTTATGCTTATTTAAGAAGAGAGTGATTGCAATCTCCTTGCCAATAGGGACTTTGTCTTACTTCTTTTGCGGCCCTGACAGGGTCTAGCCTAGTTCCCGGCAATTTGTAAGTGCACAGAAAATGAAAGAAAAAGGAATGAGGAGGGAGGGGTCCTTTACAAATCAGAGTCCCTAAACACCCTCTTTCTTTCCTTTCCCCTCCCCCTTCTAGCAGGTCCAGTCCAATGACATTTCTCTTGCAGATAAAGCTCCCTTCTGCCCTAGTTCTCAGTTGGCTTCAATAAAAGTGGAACTGTCTGCCATTTGTTCGGTGCCTGTTCTTCACAGATTATTTGCATCCATCACCTCCCATAATCGTCACAACAGCCCTTCGGAGTAGGCAATTTCATCCCATTTTACAGATGAGAAAGTTGAGGCTGAGAGAGGTTAATGACTGACCCGGGGAAGGTCAGTCTGGTGACCCATGAGTGGCAGAGCCCTGGCTCTTTCCACTGAGTGGCTCAGTCCCCTACCCCACCCCTGCCTCCACTTAACGAGGTCACCTGGGAACAAGGCCATAGCTAAGGGAAATAGGTTTTGAAATGTGCTTCTGGGAAGAGGAGAGGTGAGTGGCCTGGAGGGCTATGAATCTGGCTTGTGGCTTCCTCTGGCATAGTGTCGGTGACAGATCATGTCAGGGCAGTCCTCTGAAGGAGAAGGAGGAGGGAACTGAAATCCCGGCTCTGGGAGTTGCTACATTACAGGGATGTTCTTTACAGCAGTGTGATTAATCTGGGCAGAGCCCACTCCCCTGGGCCTTGCTCACCATCAGTCCAGAACCACAGCCTGTGTCAGCGGCTCAGAGGGCCGTTAATTTGCACCCTGGCCTCCTGATTCCTTTAGCAGACTGACAAAAAGGCAGCCCGCTGAGCGATTTCAGCCAGGCTTTGTTCTTCTGCTTTGAATGAGGTTGTGGCCAACATCCTGGGGCCAGTGTCCTGTTGAGGGCCAGAGGAGGGTCTGAGGACAGCACTCCCCTCCTGCCTGACCACTTCCAAAGGGCTCCGCCCCGGGTCTCACCCGGCCTGAGAGTTGCGCTCCTCCTGTGAACAAGTCTAGTTCACGTGGAGCCCACGGGATATCTGAAGCAGGCAGTTTGCTCCAGCCTCCCTCCTCGGTCCTCCTCCCTTCTCCCTCCTCCCTGCCTCCCTCCTCCCCTCCCCCTCCTCGCTCCTCTCCCTCCTCGCTCCCCCCTTCCT